GTCATAAATATTTAAAAAATTAACTAGGTATTTGTAATTACAAAAATGTGAGTCAAACACCGAAAGGGTTAAATGGATGCAGTGATTCAGCAAAAGCCGCAGTTCAATATAAGCCTGTAGCTTAGTATGCCTCAGTGTTAGTTGCCCTCAGTATTAAGAGGCTTCAGTATGGCCACGGTAGTTCATGCTCTGGTTACATCCCGTTTAGACTACTGCAACGCTCTCTACGTGGGGTTGCCTTTGAAGACAGCTCGGAAGCTCCAACTAGTCCAACGCTCGGCAGCCATGATTTTAACAGGAGCGGAGCGCAGGGAGCATACAACCCCCCTGTTGCGCCAACTCCACTGGCTACCGATCTGCTACAGGGCTGAATTCAAAGTGCTGGCGTTGGCCTTTAAAGCCCTAAACGGTTCCAGCCCAAGCTACCTATCTGACCGCATCTCTGCCTATGAACCCACCAGGACTTTGAGATCTTCCGGGGAGACCCTGCTCTCGATCCCGCCTGCTTCTCAAGCTCGGCCGGCGGGGACGAGAGATAGGGCCTTCTCGGTGGTGGCTCCTCGGCTGTGGAACGCCCTTCCTACGGACATTAGACTAGCACCATCTCTAATGGTATTCCGCAAAAAGGTGAAGACCTGGATGTTTGTGCAGGCGTTTGAGTAATTTAGTGCAATCTGGTAATGGAATATAGGAATGGAACAATGGACGACGAACCTGGACTACGCTTGGATGATGAGAAGATTGGGTACAGTTGTTTTTCATAATAATTGTGCATTGTAATTGCTTATTGGTAATTTATGGATAATGTGTTAAGTCAATTGTTATATGTTGTATGGAACCACTGCTGTTTCTACTGTTTTTACTGTTTGTGAACCGCTGTGAGTCGCCTTCGGGCTTGAGATACAGCGGTATATAAGCAAAGTAAATAAATAAATAAATAAATAAATAAATGAGAGAGGCCTCAGGCCTAATTTGAGGTAAACCTCAGTGTGAGAGGCCTGGTGTGGGAAGGCTTTGGTGATAGAAACCCCAGGTTAAAGACCTCATATGTAAAGCTCCAGTGTGAAGGCCACTGTGTATAAAAAGCTACTGTGTTAATTTCCTGTGTAAATTCAGTGTAAGAGGAAGCTCAGTGAGAGCAAAGCTTTTTATCTGCATGAGAAAGAATCCCAGCGTGGAAGCAAAGAAGGAAGTGTAAAAAACTTTATTTGTGTTATGTAAACCTTGTTTTTTTAAATAGTGCAACCATATTATTTTGCCATAAAGAAAAGCCTCCTAAGGAAGATATAACATTGGTTTGTGTGTTTTTGTTCTTTTTATCACTTTTGACTGCTGGTGCTGAGTCACACTGCTCCAAATAAATTATTCTGCTGTACATTTATGACGATGGGCTTTTGTTAATAAGCCCACTCACCCAACAAAACATACATTCGAAGGACACTGATTTAATAATTTAAGAACCAAAGATGAGTCTACCTTGTAATTTACTTTCCAATATTTACACTTTTCTTATTGATGGCTATTTTTACTCTGAATTTGTTTTTTCAGAAAAATATTTTGATATGAAGAAGAACCAGTGCAAAGAAGGTCTGGATATTTACAAAAAATTCCTTGCCAGAATGACCAAATTGTCAGAATTCCTCAAAGTGGCCGAGGTAAATCAAACTGACAGTACTAACAACATATCATCTCGCTCTCTGGACTGGTACAGTAATAAATGCATAGGGTGGCAATGCAACCTTGTTAATTTCCTGCAAAACAAGATTAAAATAATTATTTTGGGAAGTTATGTTCAACTAGAATATGCGCTTTTAACGGGTTTGGAATCTAGTTGCTTTTAACTTTGTTAAGAAATATCTATAATTATTTTGAAAGCATTTATTCCGATTTTCTTGTCTAAATAGTAACAAAGTTCTGACAGGCTTTTTCATCTATTTGAAACAAATCTACGTAATATTCTGTAGGGCCTCTGCATGAAACTGAGTTTTTGGAATGGCATTTAGGGTTGTACCAGTTCAAACAGCTCTCCATGTCTTCCCTGATTTCCTTAACGTTTATGTAAACATTCAGATCCACAGTTCTTTCTCTTCATTGCCACTGCATGTAGTAATGTGCATTTCTTTTCCCTTTTTTGTGAACCCAGCAAGTTGGAATTGATCAGGGTGACATTCCAGATCTTACGCAGGTCAGTGTACATTTCATATTTATTTAACCCCCCTTTGTGATTTCAACTGTTAGTATTCCATTCTGTACATTCTGAGACGTCATTCTCTTCCATATATATGTGAGTGTGTAATATATGGAAACACATGTCATTTCCCCCCTCTGAACTGTTCTGTTTGTGTAAAAACAGTGTACTAAATTTGCTCGAGATGAATGTGCTGTCGAATCTAATGCACAACTCAGTTTTCAAAACCCTGAAACCAAAAAAAAGTGTTTGCTGGAGAATGTAATACACAGTGGAGGAAAAAGTGTACTCTGTAATTTGGCCAAAAAAGGTGCACATTACAGTGGCTTCTTGCTTAGGATTCATTCTTTAAAAAAACAGATGTTAGAACACCAAAGCTTCCAGCAATGGAAAGGAAAACATTGGGTGCATCTATGCTGTAGAATGAATCACTTTAACTGCCTTTGTTCAATGCTATGGAGTCATAGGAGGAAGTAGTTTGACATAACTACTTCCAAATGATGATGATGATGATGATACAGTCCTAGACGCTTGGGAAGTGTTTGACTTGTGATTTTGTGATATGAAATCCAGCATATAGATCTCGTTTGCTGTGAAATACTGTGCTTTTGTGTCAATAATAATAATATTTATTTATACCCCACCACCATCTCCCCAAAGGGGACTCAGGGCGGCTAACATGAGGCCAAGCCCAAAGATACAATACAACAAAATAAAATACAGAATGCAGACAACAAAAAATTAAATCAAAATAAAATAGGTACAGTAGCAAAATGGGATAAATAAAACAAATTGACACAATATAAAATCGGAACAGAATGGGCAGGCCAAATGGAGGAGGTAAAATGATAAAACCCTGGATGAGATAGGAAAGAAAATATGTAATTGAGGGGAACCCAAAAAGAATAAACAGTGGGGTAGGCATTCAATTTAGGATGGGGTAAAGTGCATCATAGGGGCAACACTATAGATGGAACTAACAGAAATGGGGAAAATGGTCACTCTCCAAAGGCACATTGGAAAAGCCAAGTTTTCAAATTTTTCCTGAAGGCTGCTAAGGTGGAAATGTCACAAACTACAAATCCCAGGATCCCATAGCATTGAGCTGTGGCCATTAAATTAGAAATGTTGTACCAGTACCTTAAATAGGAGGTTCAGGTGCATATATATTGCATGCAAAAGTCACAGATCCAATTACTGACATCTTGTTGGTAATGGGAGGGTTTATTGTCAGAGACCCTGGAAAGGTGTCATTAATATGAATGGGAAAAAATGCTGGTTTAGATAGATATAAAGTAGGCTGTGATGTTCAACAAATTTCGGAACAGCAATTTCCTGGATAGAGGAAGGGCAGTTTTTCAAAAGAGAAGTCATCAAAATATGCAACCGAAGTTATTTTGTGGAGCTGAATCCTTGTTTATGGAAACTGAATACTCTTCTCTGCTTGTGCTGACACATCAGGAGCAGCAAGCAGATGCAGCCATGACGGCTGGAGAAGAACCAGCGGTTCAGTGGCAGGGATTCTGTTTTTCAGGAAAGCGCACTTAGAATGTCAAGTTCTAGGAAATTCTTAATAGGATTAGGGAAGAGCTTGGATTGCAGCCTTGGAAGAAATGTTGTTAATCATTGTACATTCAGATTTGTCATCAGAGGCCCTGCTGAATGATTCTATCAGTTGTGGTCTGAAATAACATGTACATAGTCAAGTGACATGAGTATAAGGTGGCATTATGTGATCAACAGAACTGATCCTTTTAGAGCCGTTCCACAAAGATAGTAAGGCAGAACTCATACATAACTCTAATAGATTTACAGGTTGCAGAGGTTATAACATTCTAGGATCAAGCCAGTTGCTATTTACTTTCATTTTATTACCCTCTTTCTTACCCCATCACTCTTTTTAACCCTTTGAGACATTAGCATATCTTTCTCTGTCCAACAGCAGCTTAGCTCCATTATTTTCCCAGTTGGGTCAGTAGCATTTGTTGTGTAGATTGTCGGGGTAGTCGTTCAGATTGGTCCTGTGTGCTACGGACTGAACTACCCAATAAAGAATAGGGTCTTCTTTGGAGGAAAAAATGCTTTATTCCCATTCTGGATGACAGTATTAGTCCCTTAGCAAAGACATCTTAAAAGGATTAAGACTTGGGCATATGTTGAAATAATTATATTGTAGGATTGGCATCAAAAACAATATAATGGGGTTGTAAGGCGAAAGGCAGATAGGTTTATGTAAAAAATAAAAATACCTAAATGTTTTTTGGGACAGCCTATACTCAACTCTATGTAGACTTAAGATCGTTGCTCTTACTTCCTCTTGAAATCATTGGGATTTGTTTTGGCTTGGTTCTGTTGAGAAAGAATCTAAAAAGATTCTTAACATGTATCCATTAACATGTGAATTAATATTATCATTGTCTATATGTCAGGAACTTTTATTAGTGAAATACCTAATGCCTTTGGAAAACAGATTTTGCAAAGCAGAGCTGTGTGAAATCTAAACCTTGGCAATCAGATTTCACACAGCTCCCTTAGATTCAATAATTTAGCATATAAATGTGTTTCTTCTTTTATCTTGATGACCCCCACCCTATCTATGTATATATATAGAGAGAGGGAGAAGGAGTCATACAGTTATGCTTTTGTGATGTCTTTAGGAGTAAGTAAAGGTAAAGGTTTCCCTTGACATTAAGCCTAGTTGTGTCTGACTCTGGGGGGTGCTACTCATCTCAATTTCTAAGCTGAAGCGCTGGCATTGTCCATAGACACCTCCAAGGTCATGTGGCCAGCATGACTGCATGGAGCGTTGTTATCCTTCTGCAAAAGCAGTATCTATTGATCTACTCACATTTGTATGTTTTTGAACTGCTCGATTGGCAGAGTCTGGACCTAACAGTGGGAGCTCACCCTGCTCTCCTGATTCGAACTGCCGACCTTTTGGTCAGCAAGTTCAGCAGCTCAGCGGTTTAACCCACTGCACACCAGAGGGCTTTAGGAATACTTTCTGACATTTGGAGCAGAAAAATAAATATGCAAAAAACTCCTAGCTTAGCATTGCTCATCCAACATCCATTTGATGAGAATTTTAACTTTAGGCTCCCAGCAGTTTGCTTGAAGCATTGGAGCAGCACCTGGCTTCTCTGGAAGGGAAGAAGACAAAGGAGCTTTCAGCTGCCAGCAGGTAATGGGCTAGTTGTTTATCCCTATTGGAGTATTGTAATCTTGGGAGCTGCGGTTAACATTGAAATCCATTTTTAAGACCTTGTGTTTTCTTACTTTTACATGAAGCAGTAGATTTGGCTCTTTGAAATATTAGGACTAACCGTGATATACTAAACCACCACAATAATAATCATTATCTTTCTGTCCATCTCAATGGGGGAACTGAGACTGTTTCACTCAAGAGATGGCGGTGGTTTTAGGCAGACTGTTCCCAGCCTATCGAAGATTTATTGAATGCACATTTAACCACAGTCCTAAAGCATATGTTGCTATAATCTCTTGCAATGGTTGAGTGGGAAAGGATTAGAGGCTAAAATGCTGAAAGAAATGCATTTCCTTCCTTTCCAGGGTCAGCAAAGTTCCCATTAATAATATTTGCGTTTTATGTTCTATGGCATGTGCATGCATCTTCTGTCTAGGTAACCACCCCCTGCTTTGAGTGCAATAGCATGCCAGTGTTTGGAGGCACCCTAGACACCTTTATTTGGATTTACTTTGACTGACCAGATAAAGCTGGATCTTGTAGAATTTCCAATGAAACCCAATCACTAACATTTCCTTTACCATGATATCTTTTGAGGTGACCACGGTTGTTAATCTCTTCCTTCCTGTCCCTCCAGTTTTCAACAATAGTCTTTTATTTTTGTATTGTCGAAGGCTTTCATGGCTGGAATCACTAGGTTGTTGTGGGTTTTTTCGGGCTATAGGGCCATGTTCTAGAGGCATTTCTCCTGACGTTTCGCCTGCATCTATGGCAAGCATCCTCAGTAGTCTGACGATGCTTGCTATAGATGCAGGCGAAACGTCAGGAGAGAATGCCTCTAGAACATGGCCATATAGCCCGAAAAAACCTACAACAACCTGTACAACAATCTGTGTGGGAGGTTTGGGGTTCAGTGTTCTTTATGGCATTTATATGCCACCCTTTTCACCCTGAAGGGAACTCAGAGCGGCTTACAAGATATATGCATGCAATATATTATATTATTAGCATAGTACAATATCAGTATTATATGTTACTATATTGTGCTATACCATTATATTGTAATATTATTAGTAATATTACATGTAATATAAAATAAATAATTAATGAATATGTACATGCATAAACTTATTGGATTTTTACAAAGTGTGCATGCTGAAAATGTATACTTGGAAATATCATTCTTTCCACTGTTATTTGCAAGACCCTGTGCTTGTTTACTTAGGTTTAAGCCTAGCATCATTCAGTGGGACTTCTTCCCAGGTAAATGTGAATAGGGCTGCAACCTGAAAACTCTTTCTTACATTTAGACAAGTGCAAAGTTGTGTGGTTTCAGTTCAGTTCCCTACCGCTACTCCTCAAAATAATTGTTTGAGGCATCCTCAAGGCTAAACGTGTATCTGCATGTTCTACCTATTTCAGAGCCAGTACTCTGTCCAGTGCCGTCTCCACGCTTGCCAACACAGGAATGTCCTTCAGTAAAATGGACGAAAGAGAGAAGCAACAGGCGCTGGAGGAGGAGCAGGCGAGGCTGCAAGCGCTGAAGGTACATCTGGGTTTCTAGGCTGTGGGCAAGTATGAAATAACACAATAATGTGTCAGGGGAAAAAATATCGCCTTTGTGATACCAATTCATAAGGTTTCTTTTTTCACCTTGGCAGCAATGAAATTTCAGGCTAAACCTATTACCAACATGGAAGTTAGTTGTTATGGGGATGCTCTTAGCGAAACAATGCTATCTTTGATGTTATAATGTATCTTGATGGCATTTAATCTTAATAGGCAAGACCTGTATGCCCTTCATTTTACGTGGTACGTTTATAATGTTTTATATTGTTGCCCTTTTATATTGTATTTATTTGTGCAAATGTGAAGGACCTATGGTCTAGGTATCAATAAGTGATTTAAAAGGTTTATTAGCTGATTTCACCTTCACTGTTACCGTTACGCTTAACTGTTTTTCTGCCTTAAAAAGTTATTTCATGTGGATACTGTGTTGCTTAGTTGAGTAATGGTGTGTTGCAAATTACTGGCATCAACCACTGTATCATGGAATCTTGGGCCTCTTCTATACTGCAATATATTCCAGATTATCAAAGCGATTGTAGTGCAGCCTTTGATTGTGCATGCACCTTATCCCTCTGGGGATTTTGGGCCTGTTAGTCATTCTGATGACACTGGGATTCTGGGTTTGCAAGTCAGCAGAAGAGCCAGAAAGAGATTTTAATCCCCGAAAATGAGTGGTCTGTGTTTGAAGGCCACATTCCTCAAAGGCAATTTTCTAGGGAAGCAAGGTCAGGAACAGATTTGAGCTCAGAGGATGAAAATGAAAGTCCAGCTGGACAGACTAATGAGCATTTAGATAGGAGATTTATGTTCCGTCAACATAGAGTTTCTCAGGAGCGTGTAGCCAAGCAGTCCTTGACATGATTTTCTCTCTATATTAGCTAGCCCAATAGATGAGTCCGTTAGTGCAGGCAATGTTGCTGTTGAGTTGACATCTATTGTCAAGTCAAGGGATTTCTAGTTTCATGTTTCCTTTGGGTCATGTCTCATGATTCCAAGTTTTAAGGACTGTTCCTGAATGTTTTGAATTTATTCTGCTTTTGTATTCCTAGTTTTTGATGCTACTCCTGTACTTTGATTTCTGTGGATTATTCCTGATATTAGGACTTTGATTTTTTATACTATTTTGCTGAATTGCTTTTTATATATATTCTTCAATAAACTGCTTTGCTATTTTACCTTGGACTGGAGTGTGTGTTAAGCCGTAGCAAACTACTGGAAGCGAGAGCGAGCTTGTGCTCGAGCTCGCTCCGAAGCCCCGCCTTTTTCCCCCGAGGCTGCTCTCTCTCTTGCTAGTGTGCCTGTTTTCCCTTGCTAGGGAAGCGATGCGAGTGTACTCTCGCAGTTGGCAGAATTCAACTGTGAGCGTATGCTCGCATCCCTGCCCTCTGCAATGGAAAACAGGCACGCTAGCAAGAGAGAGAGCAGCCTCGGGGGGGAAAAAAGGCGGGGCTTCGGAGCAAGCCCGAGCGCAAGCTTCCTGTAGTTTGCTGCGGCACGAGCGTATGCTCGCAACGCTGCCCTAGCAAAGGGAAATAGGCGGAGAAAGAGGCGGAGCATCGCTCGTGCTGGCTTAGTTTGCTCTCACAAAATCCTAGTTTGCTACGGCTCTTAAGTACAGAGGTGATTCCCAGCCTTGGAGTGCAACAATAGCATATAATCCAGATTATCTGCTTTGAATTGGGTTATATGAGTCTACACTGCCATATAATCCAGTTCGAAGCAGATAATCTGGATTTTATATGGCAGTGCAAATGAGGTCTGATTCTACACTGCCATATAATCCAATTCAAAGCAGATAGTCTGGATTTTATATGGCAGTTTATATGGGGTCTAAGCCTTCATTTCTATTATTGATTGCTTAGGACAGGTGTCTTCAAACTTTTTAAACAGAGGGCCAGGTCACAGTCCCTCAGACTGTTGGAGGACCGGATTATAATTTGAAAAAAACATGAATGAATTCCTGTGCACACTGCACATATCTTATTTGTAGTGCAAAAAAAACCCCACTTTAAAATACAATAATTAAAATGAAGAACAATTTTAACAAATATAAACTTATTAGTATTTCAATGGGAAATGTGGGCCTGCTTTTGGCTGATTAGATAGGATTGTTGTTGTTGTGTGCTTTCAAGTCATTTCAGACTTAGGTTGACCCTGAGCAAAGGCCGGGTAAATGACCTTGGAGGGCTGTATCTGGCCCCTGGGCCTTAATTTGAGGACCCCTTCGTTAAAGTTTTGGACTTACAGATACAGTTGGAGTTAAGCTCTTTGGAAGATTTGTGTGTGAGCAAAGAGCCAGCTAAATTCTCTGGCTAAATTCTTCATTCTCCTCCATCAAAATCAGAGAGATGGGAAACTTCTTGGCTTTTGTGAAATCATAGCCAAGCAAGGCAGTTCTCTCAATTCTTCTGGAACGGGGGTTGAGCAATGGGGATTTGGGTGGGTCGTAATGTGCCATGTTCTGAAATGGGGATGTGGGCAATTTTCTGCCAGATTGTGAGGTTTCAGTTCCACTGTCCTCTGAGGACAGCAGGAAAGGCCAGCAGAGTGTACATTGCAATTTCCTAAGTCAACATTATCTTGCATAATTTATTTTTTTTGTAAAGGAACAACGGCTGAGGGAGATTTCTGTGGTGTCCAATTCCACATCTACGTCTGCCTCTCCAAGCACTTTATCAGGGAAGAGTGTGAATACCAATTCTGCGGTGGACCTTTTTGCAACACCCGCACCGACCACCAATAGGTGAGGGGTGTTTCAGAGCTGGAGCAAGTCAAAAGAACCTGATACTCAGAGCTACATCCTTCATGTTAGAACTTCTCCTGCTTGCTATTCCTCTTCCTTCTTCCATTCTGTATCTTAGAAAATTTCATGGCAGTTGTTAAGGAGGGCAGGCATTGCTGAAGTCTTGCAGAAAATTCATTTGTTCTTTGCCAAAAGTAAATGTAATCATAGTCATAACAAACAAGAGGGATTTTATCCTCTTCTACCCATTTTGTAATCAGAAGATTAAATAAATTGAATTGAGTCACTCTTTTCAGTGAAAACATCCAATTATGCCTTGCGTTACATTTTAAACAAATAATCATTGGCTGACATACATTTCGGTGCCTCGGAAGTTAGCCCTGTTTCTGGTTATACTTGACCTGCTGATTCCAAAAATAGCACCAGTTTTCCCCTATTGCTGTGGTTCTCAACCTTCCTAATTCTGCAACTCCTTAGTACAGTTCCTCGTGTTGTGGTGACCCCCAACCATAAAATTATTTTCGTTGCTACTTCATAACTGCAATTTTGCTACTGTTATGAATTGTAATGCAACTGTCTGATAAGTAGGATGTATTTTCATTCACTGGACCAAATTTGGCAAAAATACCTGAAACGTCCAAATTTGAATACTTGTGGGGTTGTGGGGAGAGGGGATTGATTTTTCCATTTGGGAGTTGTAGTTGCTGGGATTTATAGTTCACCTACAATCAAAGAGCATTCTGAACTCCACCAACAATGGAATTGAACCAAATTTGGCACACACAAATCCCATGACCAACAGAAAATACTGAAAGGGTTTGGTGGGCATTGACCTTGAGTTTTAGAGTTGTAGTTCATGTACATCCAGAGAGCACTGTGGACTCAAACAATGATGAATATGGACCAAACTTGACACTAATACTCAGTATGCCCAGATGGGAACGCTGATGGAGTTTGGGAAAAATAGAACTTGACATTTGGGAGTTGTAAACACTCTGAACTCAGCTGACAATGGATCTGCACCAAAATTTGGCACACTACCTACATGGCCAACATTGAATACTGGTGGGGATGGGGGCTGTTCTGGAGTTGTAGTTCACCAACAACAAAAAGGAAGAGAAGGACAGGCAGAAAGATCTTCAGCCTTCTCTGTCGAAGGGGTTCCTAAGACCATCAGAAATATGTTTTCTGGCCTGTCTCTGAATCCTGACTGTCTCGGAATCCCTCCCTCGTGATCCTCCCAGGGGTCCCAACCCCCAGGCTGAGAAACACTGCCCTATTGACTCTAGTTTTTGAGATACAGAACATATGCCAGTCAACCATAGAAATAAATGATAACCATATCTAAGAAACTAGAGCTGATGCAGTCTATCCAATCAGCACCCAAATAACTCCAGCAACAGGCCTAAAAACCAAGACATCAAGATTTTTTTGGTGCAATTTGTCTAATGTTCTCATAATTTTTTAAATCAGTTCAAAATGGAAAAAAAAAGATTTAGCTGATTATCTGACTGTGTGTCTTGAGGCAGGGTCGTTCAAAGGTGTCACTGCCTTATGTTTGAAACAAGGTAATAGGCCTCACTTTGCTGATACTTTGCTTTCCCATTGAAACTTTCAGCATGCCCAACCTTTCTACCGATCTCTTTGACCTTCAGCCTGCGTTTGTCCCAACGGTACAGAGCACACCCGCCATAGCGACATCCGCAAGCAGTGCCTGGGGAGGTATGTTGACTTTTGCGTCCGAAGCAAATCTGTACAAACCTTTGAATTTTGGAGGTTTTTTTTTTTTAAAGAAACCAAATTAAGTTATTAAATGGTCTCCCAGATCCAAACATTCTGTTGGTAACTTGCCTGTGTATAGTTGATATTAGAGAGCCATCAGGTTTTCCTATGGCAGACGTCAAGTTTTGATGAGCAGTTGGAGCCTGTGTTTCGGTGTTAAGGTGTCCTGTTGTGGGACTTTTCTCCCCTTTCAGGCCCAAAATTTATCTGGTACGTATGACAAGATCTACAACCAACATCCAATGCCTCGTACCCAGTTCCCATATAAAAGTGAAGTTCTAAATGGATGCATTCAAAGTGTCTCTCTTCCCCCATTAAAAATATATGTCCAAGCAGACCCTTTTTTAATGTAGGGAATGAGGTGCAATATAATCTATACACATAATAAAAGTGAAAATGTGTATGTGTCCACTTATACAAACAGCCTCCGTTCTCTACAAACAGGCTATAGTTCCAAGTGCTGAGAAAAGATCCAACTGCAAAACTCTGGCACAAGCCAGTAAAGGTGGTCCCAGTGGTGATCGGCACACTGGGTGCAGTGCCTAAAAAACCTTGGCCTGCACTTAAACACAATCGGTGCTGACAAAATTACCATCTACCACTTACATCCAGAGAGTACTGTGATTCCAACCAACAATGGATCTGGACCACACTTGCCATACAAAGGCACCCCCTCAACTGACATTGCAGGTCTTAGTGAGTGCCATGAACATGTAGCCCAACCCCTGCCAATGTCCTCCCCAAACACAAATCACCCAAGACATGCTTTCATTAAGGCACCATTTCATCCTAGATGTTCTGTTATTTCTTCCAGAATTGACATCCCAGGGTTCCTTTCTCTCCCCATTTGCATGACTCCAACCACTGTCTCTTACTTAATCCTTTCCTACCCATTCCTATGGCACACAGCAAACAGGAACTGATCAGCAACTGAACAAGACGTTTGGGAAGAACTCACAATGATTTAGAGGAGTTGTAGCTCACTTACATCTAGAGAGCACTGTGATTCCAACCAACAATGGATCTGGACCACACTTGCCATGCAATGACCCACCTGCCTGGGAGTTGTAGTTCACCCTGCATCTAGATATATTACCAGACTTCCCCAAAAAAAAACAATGCCTTTCTCAAGTAACCCAGGCATCGCCAGGTCCCCAAGCTAATATAATAATAATCATCATTATCATTATTATCTTTATTTGTACCCTGCCACCATCTCTCCGAAGGGACTCAGGGCAGTTCACAAAAGCACTCAAGGTGCAACATACAAAATACAATCAGTAAACAATGTCATAACAACAACAACAACAACAACAACAACAACAACAACAACAGTATAACACCAAAAACCCCACTAGTTAAAAATCAATAAAATGCAACAGTAGCAGCAGCAGATGTAAAACAAATTGCAATCAACATCAGTTTGTAAGAGCAAGGAGAAATAATCAGCTAGGTCCTCAATATAATCAGTTCCTTAACGAGGTCAAAGGCATGCCTTCAAATTAATTTGAAACACTTGAAGGGAGTGGGGAGGCTAGTCTAATGCAACAGAGAGTGTTTGTTGTTTTGAGATTCTCATGATTTTATCTCGCCAAGAGGTCAGCATCTGAACAACCGGTTCAACAACATTGGTCTACCTAAACTAAACTTATCCTTCAGGAACTATAGTTTTGTGTGCAAGACACTGACAAAATATATGGCTCTCAGAACAAATGGCTGAATTCAAAGGCCCATGGCGTAATCCCTATGTAAAAGGACTCTTAATAATAATAATAATAATAATAATAATAATAATAATACTTTATTTATATACCGCTCTATCTCCCTGAGGGGACTCAGAGCAGTTCCCAGGTAACATCACAAAACATACAAAGTAAAACAACATAACCATGAGATTAACAAAACAATATAAGCATAAAGATTGTCACCATAACACACATATATTAAAAGTAATCCTGCCTGTTCAAGGCAATTTAAAAATTTAAACAGCCGGGCCAAGATTTGTGCAAGCCCAAAAATTCTAGGGGGTCTGGGAATTAAGTGCAATGCTATGGCAGGCAACAATAATATTAGGTACGGTTCTGTGGCTGTTCATTCCGGGGTCGATTAGAGGAAATGATCTGGGTAATTGGTAGGAAGAATAAGGCTGTATTTGACAATATGTAAGACTGAGAACTGGTCATTTTCAAAGACTTGTTGAAACCACCAGGTCTTCAAGTTCTTACGAAAGGAGCGGAGGGATGGGGCCTGTCTTATTTCCCTTGGAAGGGCGTTCCAGAGGTGGGGGGCTACCACTGAGTAGACCCTCTCTCTCTCATCCCCACCAACTGTGCTTGTGACGACGGTGGGACCGAGAGGAGGGCCTCCCTGGAAGATCTTAGAGTTCGTGACTCTTCTCTTCAAAATGTGTAGAAAAAACAAAAGATAAAATTAGTTTGGAGCTTTGCACAAAGGCTTGCTGAAGTCTTTTGAGTCTACCAGCTTCTGATACAGTCTCCTCTCGTAAGTACTTACATTCTTCTCTTTCTTAATTTCTCCTTTTTTTCTGTCCCCTTTTCCTGCTGCACTCCAAAGGACCTTTCTCGTCTACAAACGGATGTGTTGGGTCTCCGCCTCACCTAGACCTCTTCGATATGAAGCCGGTTGAAGAAGCTGTCAAAAGTAGCACACCTTTTGGAACATCTGCCTTCCCCTCAAAACAAACAGTTGAACTGTTTAGTGGTAAATTGTCCTCTAATTTACTTCTAAATACAGGAATACTGTTATGATGATCTTGATACCTAATTTTGTTGATATTAGACTTTTATCTTTTTTTCTAGTTTTCACTCAAATGTGTGTTGCAGCAGTGTCTTTGTCAGCCTTAATCCACTGTATGGAATACTTTATCATTAACAATGTGTTCTTTGCATTTGATGTAAATATTTGATTCTACAAGGGTTGAATGAAAAGTAATGCCTCCATCTTCGTTACTTGGGTTTGAATGGAAATATTTTAATAAATCAAACACAGAAATAACCATTAGAATTACCACTATCCACTTTTCCACATAATCACCAGACAATTGGATACATTTCTGCCAACAATGAACAAGTTTTCTGAAGCAGTCATGGAAGAAGTCAACACTCTGTTTCCGCAACCAGCATCTCACAGTTCTCTCAGCATCTTCATCTGAAGCATAATGATGTCCCCGCAGATCTTCTTCCATTATCAGGAACAGATGGAAGTCAGACGGTGCTAAATCTGGACTGTATGGAGGATGCCGTATGGTGGTGAGATCCAGTCTCTGAAGTTCTGCTGTGGTGACATGTGAAGTGTGTGGTCTGGTATTGTCATGCTGCAGGAAACATTTACCTTTTCCGTTGGGACCCTTGTTAGACGTCGTTTCAGAGTTCGCAGCGTTGTGATGTAACACTCTCTGCATCCCAGAACATGATTTTTGTCATGATTTTTTCCAGCTGAGGGCTGTGCCTTGAATTTCTTTTTCTGGGAGAGTCTTTGACTGATGCTTCGTCTCCAGGTTGCAATGGTGTACCCACGTTTCGTCTCCTGTCACAATTGAATGGAGAATTGTGTCACCTTCATTCTCATAACGCGAGAGGAGTTCCTGGCAAATTTCAAGTCTGTGCGCTTTCATTTCAGGCGTCAGCATCCTGGGTAGCCATCGTGCACAGATCTTCCGATAGCCAAGCAAAGCTATATTTCTTGTGAAATGCCGATTATGCTTGAAATTTCTCTCTGAGTGATACAACAATCGTCCTGAATCAGTTTGTCAACCTTTTGCTTGTGAAACTCGGTGGTTGCTGTCACAGGACGTCCAACTCTTTGTTTGTCAAACAAGTCAGATGTTCCTACCTCAACATCTTTAAACTTACTCGCCCAGTGATGCACAGTACTCATATCAACACAGTCACCATAAACAGCTTGCATTCTCTGCTGAATCTCCTTTGGGCTGACACGTTCTGTTAAGAATTCAATGATTGAACGTCTACTGAACAAGCCAGTACCTGCCTCATACCAGTACTGCCATCTGTTGAGGAGTTAAGAAGGTTGAGGCATTACTTTTCATTCGACCCTTGTATTTGCCAAATTTGAATGGGTTTCTGAAATTCTGTCTTTGTTCCCCCCTTCCAGCCTCTACTGTACTGTAATAGTTTGAAATCTCCATGTGCTGCAATGTGTTTGCCTTGAAATAGTCGAAGTAACATTCCCTTAACATTTACTTCTTTTAAAAATGTGGAATTGTTGAAAATTGTGGCAAATACAACTTTATAAACACTTGTAGGCTATCCTGTTCCTGCAGCATCACAGAAAACCGCCGGCTCAACCATCAATGTGGATTTTGATGCTGTGTTTGGTGGCAAGTCAACGGTGCCTGAGTTTAGAACTGCAACAGGTACAGTTTCCTGATGTGTATCACATTTTGCTGGGTGTGTTTGTATATGCGTTTATGTGTAGCCAGTAGTTTCTCACTGCCTTTTTGATGTGTAGTTCAGTGCAGCCAACATATAATAATAATAATAATAACAATGTACTTTAATTATATTCCACTCTCTCTCCCCAAGGGGACTCAGAGGGGATTACAACATACACAGATAGGCAAACATTCAGTGCCTTTAATACAGTGAAATAATAATGACATACAAATACACAGAACAAAGGTAAAGTCTTCCCCTTTAATTTCGGGCTTTCTGGAGGCAGTGCTCAATTCCGGCCATGAGGAGGTGCTCTTGTTCCATTTCCAAGATGAGGAGCCTGTTGTCTGTAGACATTTCTTGGTCATGTTGCCGGCATAGCTGCATGGGCGCCTTTATTATCTTCCCAGTGCCCCCGGTGGTGCAGTGGGTTAAACCCCTGTGCCGGCAGGACTGAAGACCAACAGGTCGCAGGTTTGAATCTGGGGAGAGGCAGATGAGCTTCCTCTATCAGCTCCAGCTCCTCATGCAGGGACATGAGAGAATCCTCCCCTGAGGATGGTAAAAACATCAAATCATCCGGGTGTCCCCTGGGCAATGTCCTTGCAGACGGCCAATTCTCTCACACCAGAAGCGACTTGCAGTTTCTCAAGTCACTCCTGACACGACCAAAAAAAAAATTACCTTCCCACCGAAGCGGTACCTATTGATCTCCTCACATGTGCATGTTTTCAAACTGCTAGATTGGCAGGAGCTTGGACTGACAGCGGGAGCTCACCCTGACCTGCTGCTTTGAACTGCCAACCTTTAGGTCAGCAGATTTAACAGTTCAAAGGTTTAACCCTTTGCGTCACCACGGGCCCTAAAAAATCTGTTTTACTGGATGACAGAAGGCCTTTCTGGCTAGTCATATGTTCACTATGAAGACATGCAGATATTGGCCTTCTTTGTATATATTACTCAAGTATTTCGATCTGTATTTTTATATGAATTTTGTGTTCGTGTTTTGAGTTTTTTGTAACCTGCCTCAAGCCATTAAGAGAGGCAGGTAACCAATAAAATGTATTGTTTTTACTCATATTAATATATATTATTGTGTTGGCTCTGTAGCTAAATAGTATCTCTGATACTCACTGATATTGTATTATAGTGCTCATTATCTCATGTTGTGGTAGTCAGATTTTTGTTTAGTTGCCTGAATCAAGTTTCAAAACAATTTGCAAGTATCTGTTTTAATAATCTGGTTTTTAAAAAGGTACTTATTATCCTCACAACACAAGTCCTCTCCTACAGTGACCTCCATTTATGCATTATAATTGTCCTTCTCTTTTTCTCTTTTTGGGTACGATTTTCATTGTGGCTTCCTGGATACCAATGGGTGAGTTTTTTCTCTTTAAAGTAGGCCTATGCTCTTAGTCACCCTCTTTTGGGAGTTGCATCATGCAAACAGATGCAGGATAGAGGAAATTGGCATGAAATAATAGCATTGTTTATAACCTCTAAGTTTTTATCTTAAGGTATTTGTAAGCTATCAATTTAGAGTTTCGGGCTACAGTCAGCCATCCACATTCACTGAGTTTAGAGGCATAAGACCCTGCTTTATAATATGCCATGCTTTTCATTCCAAGACCGTAATATACACAAGAATTATGCAAATTAAAAAATCACTGGGTTGTTGTGTGTTTTCCAGACTGTATGGCCATGTTCCAGAAGCATTCTCTCTTGACGTTTCACCCACATCTATGGCAGGCATCCTCAGAGGTTGTGAGGTCTGTTGGAAACTGGGCAAGGGGGTTTATATGTATATTTGTGGAAGAAAGAACTCTTGCCTGTTGGAGGCAAGTGTGAATGTTGCAATTGGCCACCTTGAATGGTATTGAATGGCCTTGAAGCTTCAAAGCCTGGCTGCTTCCTGCCTGAGGGAATCGTCTGTAGGGAGGTGTTAGCTGACCCTGATTGTTTCATGCCTGGAATTTCCCCATTTTTTCAGTGTTGTTCTTTATTTACTAATTTTACCGTTTTTTAAAATACTGGTAGCCAGATTTTGTTCATTTTCATGGTTTCCTCCTTTCTGTTGAAATTGTCCACATGCTTGTGGATTTTAGTGGTTTCTCTTCAAGACAATAAGACTCTGACAGTAAATAGAGGGCCAACTGCTGTCCTCTCCTTTTTGCCTTGTATTTTATTCATGTTGTATTTGAAATGGTCCTATGACTAGTCAAATAAATAAATAGATATTAGTGGTTTCTCTGTGTAGTCTGACATGATGGTTGTTAGAGTGGCCCAGCATTTCTGTAAATCAGGATAGTAAATAAAGAACAACATTCAAAAACAGGGAAATTTCAGGCATGAAACAATCCGGGATAGCTAATACCTCCCAACAGAGGATTCCCCCGGGCAGGAAGCAGCCATGCTTTGAACCTGTAGTCCATTCAGTGCTAATCCAGGTAGCCAGTGGCAACATTCACATTTGTCTCTAGCAGACAAGAGTTCTTTCTTCCACCCCAGACATTCCACAGATATATAAACCTCAGTTACCTAGTTTCCAACAGACCTCTCAACCTCTGAGGATGCCTGCCATACATGCAGGTGAAACGACAGGAGAGAATGCTTCTGGAACATGGCTATACAGCCTGGAAAATTCTAAGCAACCCAGTGATTCTGGCCATGAAAGTCTTTGACAACACACAAAAAAAAACATTATTTTCCTACCTGAGATAAAGATCTCTAGGTCTTTCAGCATGGGCCTGTGGACAGCTTTCGATAGAGTTTCCTAGACATGTTTTAATCAAATCCATCAAATTCATAGGCAAATGTGGAGGGCCTACTGTACTTTTTAAAAAAATACCAATTTCAACATTTCAAAGCTTTACCTTCCTGCAGCTTTGTAGAAATTGGTCCAGGATCCATTTTTTCTCGGGACTCATGTGGGTTTTAACTTATGTATTTAATCCTTAAGATGTTTCAAAATGAAAGTCAGCCATCAAACGAGAGCCTCTTCAAAGTCTCTCTTTGCTCACAATAATTACAGGTCCCAACGTAATTGAAATACAAGCCTCTCCATTTAGTTGAGCTTTACAATGTCAGCATATTTATCTATTTCTGCACGGCTAATCTTGCATTGTGTGTGTTCTAGGGATTTCAGGATTGGAGGGCTGTTTCCTGTTTTTCATGTTACAGTTTTAGTTCAGAATGAATAACTTTATTAATATTTTTTGTTCTTCTCTCTTCCAGTTTTTTATTTCCCAGAGGATGTATTGCAGCCAGTAGTACCAGTACAAAACCAGAGAGGGGCTTTAATCAGTCACCAAAGTGGGAAGATTTTGGCCAACGATCTTGACTCTTCGCTTGCTAATCTTGTAGGAAGTAAGTGCGAAGCCTTAATTTTAAAATACCTCCATATTTATTGTATGGACAAATTCTAGGTCTTACTGAAATACTTCGAATAATAATAAATCAGTGCTTAATTTTATACTTGCATCTTTTTGTTACAGATCTTGGCTTTGGTGGAACGCCATCCAAAAAGTGAGATATTTCTATCTTGTCTTTGTTTAGTTATGCATTGTTAACAGTACTTTAGGTCATGTTATGTGGGTTGCTAAGATAGTATGCAAAAGGGAATTTTGAAATATTTCATATTGTTTCTGAATAGCAGGTGTACTAAGTTCCAGAAACTTAAGAAGGTGTTAGAGCTTAGAGGTGTTTCTTCCATTCTCCCCTTAAGAGCACATATTTCCACTAGACATGGTTAGGTTTGGTCAGAATCTTCGTAATTTGGAATAAATTTGGAAAGATTTGCTTTTTTAAGTGATTTCGAAGTTTTTAAGGAAACCCTTTGCCCTTCCGAAGCTTTTCCCGCCATTTCTGTTACAAAGCAGTAAGTGAGTCGAAATGATCCAGCTTTTCCCTGCTTCTAGTCTCAAGTCTGGGAAGCGTTTTAAACCAGACTGGTTGGATTTCCTGCCTTTCCTCTCCCCTCACTTCTGGTCTCGAGCCTGGGAAGCATTTTAAACCAGAATTAATGAATTTCCTGCCTTTCCTCTCCTCTTGCTTCTGGTCTTGAACCTGGGAAGCGTTTTAAACCAGGATGGATGGATTTCCTGCCTTTCCTCTCCCTTCACTTCTGGTCTTGAGCCTGGGAAGCATTTTAAACCAGAATGGATGAATTTCCTGCCTTCCCTCTCCCTTCACTTCTGGTCTCGAGCCTGGGAAGCATTTTAAACCAGAATGGATGAATTTCCTGCCTTTCCTCTCCTCTCACTTCCAGTCTTGAACCTGGGAAGCGTTTTAAACCAGACTGGTTGGATTTCCTGCCTTTCCTTTCCCCTGGCTTCTGGTCTCAAGCCTGGGAAGCATTTTAAACCAGACTGGATAAATTTTCTGCCTTTGCTTCCCCCCCTTTTTTTTCTGGAGTAAAACAACTACTTCCAAAGTAAAGACCACTCAATGAAACAGGAAATAACACTTTCAACCCATTAAGGAAGGACTCGGGAGTCTTGGAAGTTTTGAAAAGTTGTGATTTTTTTTCTGTGAAAATTGGAATTGACTTCCGAATTGAACCACCAGCACCCCCGACATCTGAAACAAGTTTTGAACTTTTTTTTTTATCAAACAAGCCTAATTTTCACCATAGATTCCAAATCTCTTTTGAAAGATTCCTCAATGCAAAAGTGGTCCCTTATGAGGAATTTTGAATCCCCTTTTAGAGAGAGAAAGCAGGATACAATAACAACAATACTTACTACTACTGGATTATATGATATTGCCCAGATGTCAGAGGGTCACTGCCCTTTTCCTTTTCTTCCCTTCCCTTATATCTTTTTCCCTTTCCTTTCTCTTCCTTCCCTCCTTTTTCTCCCTCCCTTCTCTATTCCAATCTGCCCTGAGTCCCCCCGGGGATATAGAGTGGAATATAAATAAAGTTGTTGTTGTTGTTATTGTTGTTGTGTTGACGGTGCCCCATGTTTGGAAACCCAAAGCTCTCCTTTTATAGCTAACAGTGTGTGGTTCACCCTAATTGTAGAAAAAGCCTGAAGCTTGAAGGCCATCGCTTTGATTTGTCGGGGAGATAGGGTGGAATATAAATAAAGTTGTTGTTGTTAGGGGCCCCTGGTGTCGCAGTGGGTTAAACCGCTGAGCTGCTGAACTTGCTGACTGAAAGGTTGGCAGTTTGAATCAGAGGAACAGGGTGATCTTCCGTTGTTAGCCCCAGCTTCTGTCAACCTAGCAGTTCAAAAACATGAGATCAATAGGTACTGCTTCTGTGGGAATGTAACAGCGCTCCATGCTGGCCACATGACCTTGGAGGTGTCTCTAAATAATGCTGGGTCTTCAGCTTAGAAATGGAGATGAGCACCAACACACAGTAGGACACAACTAGACTTAATGTCAAGGGGAAACCTTTACTAAATATATGGGGGGGGGGGGGGGCGGAGAGGAGGGAGGGAGGATGTTGTTCCAGGAACTAACCACTTCCTTGAGCCTGGAATTAACAGAATCAATTCAATTAAACGTGGTGTTAGCAATAGGTACATCTCATTTTTTTCAGCATATGGAATGTGTGATGTTTTGTAACTGGGACAAAAAAAAATAGTGCTTAACATAATTGTTCTGTTGCTCTTTAGCTGTGTTTCCTATGTGTGGCAGTTCAACTGTATGCGTTCCCTTCTAGGTCTGATATGCAGTGGAGTCAGCCTACAGAGAAGAAACTGACTGGGGGAACCAACTGGCAGGCCAAAACAAGCACCGCAACGACATGGAACACGGTCCCGATGCCTCCTGCGCCACAGATGGTAACGTCTTCAGTGCGTTGAGTTTAACTTATTTGTAAAGGCTTGATATAGTATTTGCCTCTTAGTACCTGGGTGTATACATTTGCCTAGGGGAATAAAATGCAATATTTGGTGCAGCCAATGAGAAAGTGCCCTGATATGCCCTTCTGATGCTATTGGGATATGGATTATGACCAGTTAGGATTATAACCTATTGGGTAGCAGAGACATGAAGGTGTGCTTTTAGTTTATTGAGTAATGGATGTTCGCTGGGCTCGTAAATATTCTTGTTTCAATTCAGTTCTTTCAGCAGACAAAGATTCAAGTAGATTTCTTTTAAAATCACTTGTTTGCTTCACTCATATGTTCATATATTTAAATATACAGGCATATTTCTTATCAGGTTAAACTTTGAAACATTTCAGTTTGTATTTTTAACTTATTGTCTTTAACAGTCTCTTCAAAAACTATATTGCTCTGAACAATTCTCTTTCAAAAGAGTCAACTTTCAAAGGAACTCAAGCATCAACAGTTTTCTAACTTCTAACACTGACATCTATATTCTAACTGACTCAAGCCTTAACTGTATTCTAATTTCTAACACTGACATCTGTATTCTAACTGACTCAAGCCTTAACTGTCATTCCTCAACTGTCATCATGTTTAAAGGGCTGCAGTCACGTGACCTGCAGCCCCTCCCACTGCTTCAAGTACATAGAGCTAAGGAAACTACAAGCCAAAGAAGACATACACTTCAGGAAATAAAATGACACATTATAAACAGACATAACATTAACTAGAGGAGGCTTGAGAAAGTTGCAATTTCCAACAGATGCTCTGAGGATAGTTAATCTCAAAATCAGCATGTCTTTTTCATTGTGAAAATTCATTTTTCTATCATTCATTTTCCCAGTAATTGCCTATCCTTGCCATGCCAAAATGAAGTATCTTATCCTGCTTATGTAAGCCCTCCCCTTCTCCCGCTATGAGCTTTGTATAAATTTCAAATTGTATTTTCAAACCATTTCGCTAACCTGTCAGTACAGTTTGTAACAAAATGGTTCACCCTTTTGTTTCCTTTCTCCCACTATTCAAGGTACCTGCTCCAGTAACCTACCCAGTGAATACACCTCAAGTGCCTCTGTATGGAATGGTAAGGCTACCCACTGTTTACACTGGTAATCTAAATGACAGAAGTATTCTTATTTGGTTTTTATACAACTGGTATAGCGGAATCTCAATGAGAAAGAATGGCAGATTCTCTGGTGACCTTGAGCTCTCTCCCCATCCTTTCCCCATTCCCCAAATCCATTCAACATGGGGAAACTTTTTTTCCAGAGATTTAAGGTAGTATGCATCTCCCATTAAATACTTTCCCCCATCTAAATACTTTTGCAAAATGAAAACATGATTCTTGGCAGAGAGCTGGATGCTGCTCCCTAAAGTAGTGTTTCTCAACCTTCCTAGTGTCTCGACCCCTTAATATAGTTCCTCATGTTGTAGTGACCCCCAACCATGAAATTATTTTTATTGCTTCTTCATAACTGTAATTTTGCTACTGTTATGAATCGTAATGTAAATATCCAGAGATCTAAGATAGTATGCATCTCCCATTAAATATTTTCCCCCATCTAAATACTTTTGCAAAATGAAAACATGATTCTTGGCAGAGAGCTGGATGCTGCCCACTAAAGCAGTGTTTCTCAACCTTCCTAATGCCGCGACCCCTTAATACAGTTCCTCATGTTGTAGTGACCCCCCAAGCATAAAATTATTCTGTTGCTACTTCATAACTGTAATTTTGCTACTGTTATGAATCGTAATGTAAATATCGGATATGCAGGATTGATTTTCGTTCACTGGACCAAATTTGGCACAAATACCTGATATGTCCAAATTTGAATATTGGTGGGCTTGTGGGGGATTGATTTTTGTCATTTGAGAGTTGTAGTTGCTGGGATGTATAGTTCACCTACAATCAAATAGCATTCTGAATTCTACCAACAATGGAATTGAACCAAACCTGGCACACGGAACTCCCATGACCAATGGAAAATCCTGGAAGGGTTTGGTGGGCATTGACCTTGAGTTTTGGAGTTGTAGTTCACCTACATCCAGAGAGCATGGTGCACTCAACAACGATGGATCTGAACCAAACTTGGCACAAATATCAATGCCCAAATATGAACACTGGTGGAGTTTAGGGAAAATAGAACATGACATTTGGGGGTTTTAGTTGCAGGATTTATAGTTCACCTACAATCAAAGAGCATTCTGTACCCCACCAACAAAAGAATTGGGCCAAACTTCCCATACAGGATCTCCATCACCAACAGAAAATACTGATGGTCTTTGGCGACCCCTATGACACCCCCTCGGGGGTCCCGACCCCCAGTTGAGAAATGCTGCCCTAAAGCCTCCATTCATGCAAATATCTCAAGTTCTATGTTTAAGCTCTTTTATTTAAAAAATCTAATAAAACCTGGGAAAGTAATCTGTTTGGAATACTGCTCCCTGTCAAAGCAGTTGGGTTGGTGCTAATGGTATGACTTGGAAAAGGGCAATTACATGTGTTTATTTATCTGCAAGCTACTGTTGTCTTGCTACCAGTTCACATAAACTTGTATGGTTTGAAGATTGTTGTGCACATTTCTTTCTTTGACTCAGAGCATTGCTTCGTAAACTGTGGGTCCAAACTCTAAATGGGGCCCTTTTTTGCTCAATGTTGGGGTCTTGAAAAATTTGGCAACAGTAAAAAGTTTTCTGAACTTTAAGCATTGACACAAATCTGTTGTGCAGCCTTTACAGTGGAATTCTGCAGAAGATGCTTCAGCTGGACTTGATAAAAAGGAAAATCAGCCTGTTTAATCAGCCTTTCAAATTCTGCTTTGTTATCAGACAATATTTTATCTTTATACCTGTTTGATATACCTATATACCCAGGGTCACGTAAACATTTCTCAGGCCAAAGGGGATCTGAATTGGGAAATCCTTGACTGAGAGTATCATTTTCAAGCTGGAAGGGCAACTCAGTGGTGCTACATAATACCCCTCTTTCTTTCGCGCAGGTACCTACACAGATTGGAGCAACACCTATTATGGCACCCCAGCCTATGATTTATACTCAAACAGGTCTAAGGCCGACAAATCCTTTTGCACCTATTTCTGGAACACAGGCAAGTTTCTCCCACATTCCATGTGTGTTACGTCCTTAGTTGACATTCTGTGAATTTCCTATCGCACAGGGTATATTATAAGATATAGGTCCCCATCCACACTGTCATTCTAATGCAGATTGAACTGCATTATATGGTCTATGTAGACTCATAGTCCAGTTCAGTGCAGTCTACACTAACCATAAACTACAGTTCAGTTTGGATTAGAATAGCAGTTAGTATAAGGGGCCAGAGTTTCCTTATTCTGATGACTCTACTACTGTGTAAAAAGTGTATTACTTGTCATTAGCAGTGTCCTAATAATCTTAAATTATTCACCCATAATCCTAGGAAGAGATTTAGGGCTATTTACAATGTACCGTATATACTTGAGTATAAGATGAGTTTTCAGCACTTTTTTAAGGCTGAAAAGGTTCCCCACAGCTTATACTCGAGTCAAAGTTATTTATTATTTTGCTCTGTTATGAATATTATTTTATTGCATTTATTACTTTACTTCATTTATTATTATTACATTTATTATTTTCTTGACATTATTATTACATTTATTATTGTACTCTAATGTCATTATTACATGTATTATTTTTCTCTATTACTATTATTATTACACTTATTATATTACTCTATTGTCATTATTACATTTATTATTTTACTCTATTATTACTGTTGTTATTACATTTCCATTATTTTACTCTATTATTATTGGAAGGATACGTAAGCACATTTGCATTGAAGAAGGTTAAAATAATGATTTAATCAGAGTTGGACAGTTTTATCTTAAATTACAGTTTTATGTAAATATTCCAAAACAGTTAACCTCCTGATGCCTCAATTAATGTAATTTTATTGGTATCTATTTTTATTTTGAATTTTACCAGTAGCTTCTGTATTTCCCATCCTTGGCTTATACTCAAGTCAATACTTTTTCACAGTTTTTTGTGTGGTGAAATCTGTTGCCTTGGCTTATATTTGGGTCAGCTTATACTTGAGTATATACGATATTCCAGTATATACAGTATTTCCCAGTTTTCTGTGGTAAAATTAGGTGAATTGGCTTATATTTGGGCCAGCTTATACTCGAGTATAAGGAGCCCAGGGTAGCGCTGTGGGTTAAAGTGCTGAGCTGCTGAACTTGTTGACTGAAAGATCACAGGTTCGATTCCGGGGAGTGGCGTGAGCTTCCGCTGTCAGCCCTAGCCAACGTAGCAGGTCGAAAACATGCAAATGTGAGTAGATCAATAGGTACCGCTTCGGCGGGAAGGTAACGGCGCTCCATGCAGTCATGCCAGCCACATGACCTTGGAGGTGTCTATGGACAACGCCGGCGGGAAGTTAACGGTGCTCCATGCAGTCATGCCAGCCACATGACCTTGGAGGTGTCTATGGACAACGCCGGCTCTTCGGCTTAGAAATTGAGATGAGCACCACACCCCAGAGTCAGACATGACTGGACTTAATGTTAGGGGACAACCTTTACCAACCTTATACTTGAGTATGTACAGTGAATGGTTATGTTTGTGAATAGTATCAATTCAATGGGATTTCTTCTCTTTCAGATACAGTTTATGTAGATCTGCCAAAGCAGCGAGACACTTTGACAACCAAATATTGGTAGAAAGGAGACGGGACTTGGAAGCGGCGGTCTTCACCAGGGCGCATTACCTGCCTCCCCCTCCGTACAATATACATTACTTTGAATTGCTGTGCTTTAGAGATTCTTAATTACAACAGTCAACTATGGTATGAAATCATGTTTGGTTTTGAATAGTGTGGAACGCCGAAATGCGTTGACGCTGAAGGGTCAGCTGAGTGTGAAAAGAAAACCCCAACTTTTCCCTTTTATTAAGGAAGAGCCAACTTGAGAGTTCCTTGCGGCATTTCCATCCGCCCGCTGGGCTACGGCGAGCCAGCGGAGGGTGCGTAGTATGTCTATTTATTTCCCCCCGACGTCCGAGGCTGATAGAATCATGAAGTCGAGCAATAAACCTTGCAGATACTCTCTCTTTGTAAGGGAGTGCCTGATCAAATACGAATTTCGCCCTGCATCATGAACGCCGGTATCGTGTGACTGCTTTTTCTCATGTTAGACGAGCTTCTTCTAATTCGCAATTTTTGTACTGTGAGTTTAAAAATGCTGTGAATCGATTTTTAACTCAAATGTAGACCATTCGTTGGGGGGTGGGGGTGGGAAAGAACCCCGAATCAGCTGGCATGGCAGCAAAAGGGTCTTCCTTTGCTGAAAGTGCGCTTTGTAGTCCGAGGGAAGTACGATAATATTTGTAGTGCGTTTATTCGTATGAGGTGAAGTGTCCGGCACGGGTGGCCATATCTGTGCTTCCTTTATGTACCAACAGCAGCATTGAGCTAAGAGTTGCCTTTCGTATCCCAGAAAGTAACGTCTATAGGCAGCCTGGGAAGTACAAGAGTCTGGGAAGCTTTTTAAAGAACCCTTTTCTTTGGCCCTTTATCGGAGAAGTAGGTTGGACAGCATTTTCTTAGGGGCTCCTTAGTTACATGCTGCACTTTAAGAACTGGAAATTCGTATTCCTGAAAAAACCCCTCTGTCCTTTGTTTCATAATCCTCATTGTGTGGAAGAGGAACACACACAAAAGAGCAAAAACGTCGAAAGAACTTTGGGGTCCGGGGGTGGGGGTGGGGGGCAGGGTGTGATTGTACATATTTGTATACCTTTGAGTACAAATTTTCTCCAGCGCTACAAAAACCTTTCTCTTCCTACATACATACACGATGCAAATGTTGTACTGCTTTTATGAAATTGAGCTCACGTTTCTTTTGTATCGAAACGTTCAGACTATTATCCTTGAAAAATAACGTGGAATATTATTATTATTATTATCATTGCAATGTAGGAAAGCGTTGAGACGTGTGACGATAAAGCCTGACAGTCCATGATTTTTCAGAACATCCACAAATGGCAAGAAATTAACATTAGAAAGGTTCCTGTACCGTTTGACAGGAGGCATTCAGGGCATATTTAGGAGGAGAGGCTACAAGACAAGTTTTTTTTGTTTTTGTTTTTTAACTAAAGAACAGGTTGCTGTGAGTTTTCCGGGATGTATGGGCATGTTCCAGAAGCAGTCTCTCCTGATGTTTCATCCACAACTATGGCAGGCATCCTCAGAGTTTGAGGGGTTTGTTGGAAACTAGGCAAGTGAGATTTATATACCTGTGGAATAATGTCCAGAGTGGGAGAAAGAACTCCTTTTTGTTGGTGACAAGTTTGAATGTTGCAACTGACTACCTTGAGTAGCATTGAATGGCCTTGCTGCTTCACAGCCTGACTGCTTCCGGGGGGGAATCCTTTGTTGGGAGGTGTTAGCTGGCCCCGATTGATTCATGTCTGGAAATCCCCTTCATACATCAAGGGAACCACTTGTTGGTGGCAAGTGTGAATGTTGCAATTGACCACCTTGAGTAGCATTGAATGGCCTTGCAGCTTCACAGCCTGACTGATTGCTTCCTGGAGGAATCCTTTGTTGGGAGGTGTTAGCTGGCCCTGATTGATTCATGTCTGGAAATCCCCTTCATACATCGAGGGAACCACTTGTTGGTGGCAAGTGTGAATGTTGCAATTGACCACCTTGATTAGTATTTAATGGCCTTGTAGCGTTAAAGCCTGGCTGATGAACCAAGCTTGAAACAACATATTTTTTTGAGAACGCAGAAATGCTGGACCACTCTAATAACAACCGTGTCAGACTAAACAAAGAAGCCATTTAAAACCACAAGACTCTGGTAAATTTCAACAGTTGCAGTTGACCACCTTGATTAGGATTTAATAGTCTTGCAGCTTCAAAGCTTAGCTGATTGCTGCCTGGGGGAATCCATTGTTGGGAGGTGTTAGCTGGCCCTGATTGATTTATGTCTGGAATTTCCCTGCGTACATCAAGAAAACCACTGACCGCATAGGGAAGCTGATGAAGAAACACAACCTACAAACTATCTACAGACCGACTAAGAAAATCCATCAAATGCTACATTCAGCAAAGGACAAGAGGGATGCTCTCATCTAGACAGAAGTCTACCGTATACCATGCAGCTGTGGATAAGTCAAGTCATAGGGACCACCAGACACAACATTGCCCAAACACAAATCAAGAAACATGAAAGTCACTGCAGACTACTTCAACCTGAGAAGTCAGCCATAGCAGAGCACCTGATGAACCAACCTGGACACAGCATACTATTTGAGAACACAGAAATGCTGGACCACTCTAACAACACCATGTCAGACTACACAGAGAAGCCATTGAAATCCACAAGCATGTGGACAATTTCAACAAAAGGACAACATGAAAATGAACAAATCTGTACCAGTATTAAAAAAAAAACCTCTAAAAATCGGGACAGTAAACAAAAGAGCAACACTCAAAAACAGGGGAATTCCAGACATGAATCAATAAGGGCCAGCAAACACCTCCCAACAAAGGATCCCCCTCAGGCAGGAAGCAACCAGGCTTTGAAGCTGCAAGGCTATTCAGTGATAATCAAGATGGACAATTGCAACATTCACATTTGCCTCAAGCAGACAAGAGTTCTTTCTCCCACCCTGGACATTCCACAGATATGTAAACCTCACTTGCCTAGTTTCCAACATACCTCACAACCTCTATAGATGCCTGCCATAGATATGGGTGAAATGTCAAGAGAGAATGCTTCTGGAACATAAATAATAATAATAATAATAATAATAATAATAATAATAATAATAATAGTTTATTTATATACCACTCTATCTCCCCGAGGGGACTCAGAGCGGTTCCCAAGTAACATCACAAAACATACAGAGTAAAAACAACATAACCATAAGATTAACAAACAAAATATAAGAACATTGTCGCATAACACACATATATTAAAAATAATCCTGCCTGTTCAAGGCAATTAAAATTTAAAAGGCCAGTCCAAGATTTGTGCAACATGGCCATATAGTACGGAAAACTCACAGCAACCCAGTGATTCTGGCCATGAAAGCCTTTGACAACAAATATAAAGAACAGTCAGACAAAGACGAGTGTATCCCCTTCTGGTCACTGCGGAGATCGTTTTCTCCTTTCAGATCCTTCCACAGTAGCAATAACTGCCAAAAAATATGATCTGTTAATGCCAACACGATGATTTCTTTCCTAAAACTTTGCCCTTGCCATGAAAATCGCTTGAAATGCAGCACTTGAGCTCATTCTTCAAAGTGTTTGCCAAGTTGTGGCCCTTTTGTATTGTTTTGTTTGATTTCCAAAAGGGTTGCATCGACAAATCCTTTTTTTTTTGTGGATCAGGCTCTGTGTCGGATTCTCGAAGCCCAGTCTTTTTCTCTGTAAGTGTCTTTTGTGTTTGTTAATATTGTGCCAAGAATGTAAAGAAAAACAAAAATATGCTTGCTTCAAAAAGGATATACTTGTTCTGTCAAACTAAACATGATTTTTTAAGAAATCAATTTTTTTACATATGTGTTTGCAATTTGTAACCACTAACTTTGTACGGACTAAATGTTGCAAGTTGGGGGAAAAATGTTTTAGACCAAATCTTGGAACATGTCCTGGCCAAAAGGAGTAAACTGGATGCATGTAATTAAATGTGGAAAGTGACTGTTTCAAGGGCCTTTGCCTTTAATGTTTGTCCAAAACCCCATATTTATTGTGGTCCTATCAAAAAGCTGGAGTGGCTTCCTTGTGGGACCTTTCTTATTTTTTTTCCTAAAGCGAGTTAATGCAACCAATCCTCATTTAGGATTGTATCATCTTGCTTCCAACCGATTTCTGGTCTTTTACACCAGTTTAGATCAATTTTAAATCACATGGATTTTATAACAATTCTAGGGTCCCCTGGTTGCATAGCAAGTTAAATGGCTGAGCTGCTGAACTTGCTGACCGAAAGGTTGCGGTTCAAATCTGGGGAGTGGGGTGATCTCCTGCTGTTAGCCCCAGCTTCTGCCAACCTAGTAGTTCGAAAACATGCAAATGTAAGTAGATCAATAGGTACCGCTACTGCGGGAAGATAATAGCGCCCTATGCAGTCATGCTGGCCACATGACCTTGGAGGTGTCTACGGACAACACTGGTTCTTTGGCTTCGAAATGGAGATGAGCACCACCCCCCAGAGTCTGATACGACTAAACGTAATGGGCAAACCTTTACCTTTTTTCTTAACTCGAATTAACTTGTGTTTATGGCCATGTAAAGTTTGAGACTGTAAAATAAGCAGGACACTTCTTCACCCCCTCCTTTCCCTGATTATTTTCTAATAATTCAGCTTAATTGTATTTAATTTATTACTTTTACTGGCTGCGATCTCACAGCAGAGAACTTCACGCAAGACCCGTCTCCTCAGAGAGCAGGCAGCTTGGACTCTCCAGCGGAAAGTATGTTTTTTATATATATATGTTTTATGTGCTTTATACAGTATTATACACTAATTAGTGTTGATTTTAATGGAATTATGGTTCATAATAATCCTTTTGTGATACAGATATGATGTATAAACCCTCAATATTTAGACATTCTCCTTTCCATTTCATTTCAGTATTGTCTGTAAAGGTCCCTAATATTTAAATATTTTTTCCAGCACCCCATTTTTAAATACAGTTTAATACAGTATGTGCCTGCATTAAACAAGGAAAAGATTCTGCAATATCCATATCCATATTGTCCCACAGTTGGAGGTTTTTTTAAGCAGTGATACCGGCAATATCACCTTTTTGCTTCCACTTGACGTGTGCAACCTATTCTATGCCTCTCCTGCAGTAGTTTGCATTGAGAAATGCATTAACATGATGATGTCCAGAAGTCAGTGTCCCCAAAGTGGTGGTCCATGAGCTGAAAGGGAAAAAAAATATTTTAATCAGTTTTTTTTTTCATGTCAGGAGCGACTTGAGAAACTGCAAGTCGCTTCTGGTGTGCGATAATTGGCCTTCTGCAAGGACGTAGCCCAGATGTTTTTGATGTTTATCATCCTTGTGGGAGGCTTCTCTCACGTCCCTGCATATGAAGCTGGAGCTGACAGATGGGAGCTCACCCCGCTCCCTGGAGGCACAAGGGTTTAACCCATTGCGCCACCGGGGGCTCCTTTAATCAGTGAACAACAAAGATGGATCTGGTCCTTGGTATATTGAGGAGGGGAAAATGCCTTCTGTTCCCTCTCAATTCATAGCTTGTATTGTACATATAGCATTTGCTGTAACCAGAACCTAACCTGGATCAGAAGCATTTTAAGAAGCAGCGACCTGTTTTACAGGTGGGATTTCTTCCAGTGTCTAAACAGACTTCTATTTTCCTCATTCCATCAAACAAAGCTCCTTCGACTCAGCTAAGCAATTCTGGTTTTGTTGACTGGATCAATTGCATTCAAAGCATTTGTTGGTGTCATCTGTAAATATTGAAACTGCGGTTGGTGTTTAATTGGTCTTTCCCTTAATGATATTAACTTGATCGTGTTAATTTGTCCGATTTCTAATGGAGGAGGTGAGGGGGTCTCAGTTTCCTGGCTGGCCAGTGTATCCTGGGATGTTGCCTTTGCTTTTTGTCTGGGCTGTCAGAGCAGAATATACTGCCCAAGTCAGCAACATTCAGTCATTGCTGGCGATTCTTGCAGCCAAAATTAGTAGCTATCTTCCCTTAAGATGTCATTTTTTTCTAGCAGATTGGTGGTTGTCACTGTGTTAAATTATTTGGAAATGCTTTTGAAATCGCCATGGCTAGAATTACCCCAGAAATGATCAACGTACAGAAAGCTGTACTG